AATATTTCCTGCACCTTTGTCTAGAGAGCCTGAGAGCACTCTGTGAATTGCAGAAAATTACCCCTGAGCCTTGATTCAAATGAAAATTCTGTGGCCATGAGTATTCCTGCCAACTCAGTTTGCGTTGTGCTAGTCCTGTCATGAACCCTCCTACAATCCTGGTGCTGCATTATATATATATATATATATATATATATATATATATATATATATATATATATATATACATACAACAAAAGCGCATACTGCTCTGCTCCCAGACTGTAAGGATCCGTCAGAGTAGCATTCACATGCAGTAAACAGAGTTTCAAGATACTCATTTATAATTGCAAGTGCATACTGCCTAAGTATAGCAGGGGGTACACTGTCTTTTTGGGGGGCAATCATATAATATACATTTAGGTCCGACATTTTCCATGTTGGAATAAAACGCACATGTAGGGTCTTAGTTATGGGTATTTTTAGCTGAGCTAAGTGTTTACGTGTTACTTGTACCCATGGATTTGAGTATGAATCGGTGTCTTTCAAAGTTAGCTTCTCTCTTCTCTGTTTTAGTAGTCTCTGGAACTCGCTGCAATGGAGGGGTTCTCTAATTGATTTGGCAGTAAATGTGGTATTTATGTATATTATTCTTTCTTAAACAGAAGGTACAGTAAGTACTGATGTCATATTCACAATCCTAGTTGTTCTATGGGCACCTTCATGGCCTCCTTTTGTACAATTTCTAAACTAGTCAACTCTTATTCCTTGAGCAATACTAGGTGCAATGCATGATAGTCTCTGACTGACCGTATGTATGACATACTTTATACATACTCCCACAGCCTTTTCTTCAGATTTCTGAAGAACTCTGTATCATTGACAATCACCCAGAGATATATGTAGCGGTGGCAAAGATCTAGCTCAATGTCATTTAAATGAAACCTTGGCAGAGGGATTGTCTTTAGGTTAAAGGCCTTGTTTTGTTTTTTCAGTCGAGATCATCACGACACACTCAGTAGACCTTGCTGAAAGTATATTTAGAATCTCTTGCATTCTCTCCTCGGATGAGGATTTAATGCAAATATCATTGGCATAGCAAATAATGGAGTCATTGCCCTCAAGTGGTATAACGCCTGGTAATCTATGCATTAGGATATTAAATAGCATGGGACAAAGTACACCTCCATAAGGTGTACTTTTGTGTGAGTACTCTAAATGCCCCTGAAGAGAACCTGCGTCAATCGATTCGATAGATACATTTGAATCCATGTGAACAGTTTTCCCTGAATACCAAAGCTTGCTAGTTCCTCAAGGATAATTTCTCTGTTTACAATATCAAAGGCAGATTGAAGATCAAGAAATACGGTTTACATGCCTGGGCTTGAGTTTAAGTACTCTGCAAGGCAGTTCTGGCTGCTACATCCTGGAAGAAATCCATACAGTCTGGGGGATAACTTAGCATTTATGTGATACATAAGTCTGTTCAGAATTTTTCTCTCAAGTACTTTGCACAGATAGGAGGTCAAGGGAATGGGCCTGTATGTGTCAGTAGTGGGTTTGGGTATAGGAATGATTAAGCTTTTAGTCCAGGAGCTTGGGAGGATTCCTTGTGATAGGCTGAGTCTATACAGGTATAAAAGTGGGTTGCCTGGTACCTGAGTAATGTGGCGAATGACGCTGTAATTAATGCCATCCTCGCCAGTGGCGGTTCCTTCCCTTTCAGAAGGGCATCACTCAATTCCTACTCGATTATTTCGGTAAAGTCGGAGGGGTCAAAAGCAGCACAGGCTATTGCTATATTAAAATTTCTATCTATTTTCGACTTGTTGAGTTGATCTTTTATCCTTTGTGGAAGTGAGTTTAACTGAGAATCCCCAACCCACTACTCTAGCAGCATATTAGCCTGTTCTTGTGGACTGTGAAACTGCGGTGTTGTGAAAACTTTACCTGTCAGCCTATTCTTCTGTTACAGAATAGAAGTTTGTATATTGATACTTTGCAAGAGGTTTTCCCAGTGTTTACTACGAATCTGAGTTTTTAATTCTCTGAATTCCTCATTGGCTTTAAGAAACTGCAGAAAATTATCTGACGTCATAATTTCTTTATAACAGTTAGCAAGCTCCTGAACCCATTTATGTTCCTTGACCTGAGCCACTTCGGTGCATGGGAAGCCTGGGACCTTTTTTTCTTCAAGAGTTTCGTGAACAAACTCATGTATAATAGTAGTCAGTGACAATTTTGATTAGATCCTGAGAAAAAAAATCAACAGTTGCTATGTCATACACCCGTGCCTTGAAGTGATGCTCCCGGCCCGGGGGATAATCATTCTAGGTGATTTGGGGACTGAGTCACTGTCTACAGTATAGTCTGTTCGTATTGCAAAGTGGTCACTAACTCTCGTACCAATGAAGTACAGATTTTACCATGAACTACATTTTTGCCAGATGGCTGTGAGATTCAACATCTGGACCTGACCTCCCCCCAGGTTGCCTACGCCCCTGGGCGCCGCTGACCTGACCTCCCGAGAAATAGGACTCCAGAAGGGCTACCCCCGGGGCAGGGCAAAGGGAAAAGTGACCAGCATTCCCAGGCCCTGGGGGCCTGCTGCAGGGAGCCATGCCCTGGGCAGGCAAAGAGAGGCCACGCCCACGTGAAGGTCGGGCATTGGCAATTTCTTTAGACACGCCTCTGTAGCTCCGCCCCTGGCTTCCAGTCACCGCTACTTATTCTCCATGGATGACCCTGTCAAAACAGAGTGTGCCTTGGGTCGGTGGAGGAGCACACATGCCCGCTGGGCTGGGCTCCCCGGGTGACCCCAAGTGACCAGCCATAACCCAAGACTGTCATACTTGTGTTAACATCTCTGTGTGCTAGCTCTATCAATAAAAGAGTTTTTAGCCACCAAGCTTTTACTACTTCCCTGTCACCAATGTTTAGAGGTTTCCCTTCAATAACCCTTACATTCTGGCGGCTAATCTAACCTGCCACCTCCTAAATGAGTCTTTGCTTCTGTGTCATATACTGTCAGTCAGTGATCTACTGTTGATGAAATGATTGAACTCCCCATTACTATTAAATTAGTTGTCTCCAGAGTGTGGATGCCTTGAAGTGAAGTCGCAAATGCATAACTTGCCTTGGTTGTGAAAATTGGGGAGAGAACTAGCCAGAAATTTAGAGTATCTGGTATACAGTGAAAATACCCAGAGGCAGTGTGAATTTTTAAATGATGAAATCGCACATCAGTGGTCTTGGATTTTTTAGCTTATTTATGTGGCAGTATTACCTTTACATATACCAACCATCTAGTCATAGCTGTATTCACATATGTATTCACCCTTAATTACAGGTGCTATTTTCACCTTAGCATCTTAGTTACGAATGTAAAACTCTAGGTCATTCAGCCTAGGTTTAATACTCAGCATATCCCATGATATGAATTTCATTGTGCGTTTATCTACGTGTGAATGGTGCTTTATTGGGCAATCTGTACTTCACGCAGTATCCTCTAATATTGCGAATTATAGATTCACATAAGAAACATATAACTTTATGATTATGGATTTCATTGCATGTGGTAGTCGTAAACTTGAAAGCACTTTTAACCATTTCAAACATTTAGTTGTAGCCTTGTTCCACTTCTCAGCACAGTCCCTTCAGTTGCTGTGCCAGATGCATCTGGGGGCTGTTTGCGTCACTCATTACTGTAATGACTAATGTTGATTTGGTAGCGTGTTACCCAACTACAAGTAATGTCCAGTGGTTTGGTGTATTTCAGTGACTCTCGGTGATTTAAGAGTGATCTCGTAGTCGCAATAAAAAGAACAATAAAATAACATCACTAGCTGACTAAAAAGGCAATATAAAAGGGCACAAATCTTTCGGACACAGCCAATATACTGGGCAAACCATACATTTCCTTGGACAAACAGAGGCAACAAGCCACCGCACGAGAAACACCACTCAGCCAGCTAATAATCCAAAGGTCTGTCACCACACTAGTAATAGCCTCTCTCCCTACCGACCGACCTGGCTTGACCTTTTAGACTGGTGGCTTCCAGCGCTTGGTGATGTTTTACCCATGATGCAGTTTATTTGATTAAATAATTAGTGTATGGTGAGTTTAAAATAAGCTTAAAATACACAAAACAAAAAGAATAATACAACTATATAATATTGGCCACATAAAAGAAATAAATGACATGAAAGTACGAAAAAGTGAAGGGATCCGTGTGGGAAAGCGAGAAAACACGAAGAAAAAAAGGGGCGAGAAACAAAGCTAATGTGAATTAGTCGAAGGCAAAAAGACAAGAATAAGAGAAGATAAGTATGGGACATAAGGAAAGTGGTATTTAAGTGGTGTTACGTACTGTAGAAGTAGTGTAGATATAGATGTAGATCACGGACCAGTGGGAAAGGTAAGTCTAAAGGATATAAACACACACACACACAGACAAACAGGAAAACAGCAAAGTCACGCCATCTTGCAGGGCGGAGTCCGTTGATTTTCTATACAGGGGAACAGGCGGCCCGAGTGCCTGTGGGATGACCTGTTTGAATCCAAGGGAAATTCACTACAATTATAACTACCTGCTAAATTACCTGCTAATTACTTTGGCATTATTTGAATGACGTTTGTAAAACATGTACTGAGAAGAGGAAAGATGAGAGCCTAGGTTTAACAGGAAGAATCCTAGATTGCAAAGCAATAGGCAGACAAAGGGAGAAGTACATGGATGGAATAAGAATAGTAGAAAGTGGAAGCACAGCTGTACATATACTGCAAATGACAAGAGACGGCGGCGTGGCAACTTATAGTCGCCAACGTCTGCATGGGCAGGGCACCTCGATAAAATATCAATATCCTCATGCATCATATAGTATCTGCAAATTGCTACAAGGAACAAAAACTACCATAAAACTTGCCAACTGCGGAATGTCAAAGAAAACAAAGTGAAAAGATAGAATACACAATCGCGAATTAAGCAATATTGATTATAAAAGGTAAATGGTTTCCTACTCCTGCGAGGCCGAGATGCGCTCGCCGCGCTTCTCCTGAGTCGCTCGCCTCGCGTCTGGGTCAAATCGCGGGAAGTCGGCGGCGGTCGCGTGTCCTTGCTTTCAATGGTGAGACGTCCTTAGGGACACAAGCTCTAACAACTGACAAGGGAAGCTGGGGGTGCTGAAGGGGCTTGGGTAGCGAGGGCGTCGCAGGCCAGCGCCTCAGAGCAGAGTGCCAGGCCTCGGGAGGGGGCATGGGGGCCTTTCCCTGTGGGGCTCGACGTATCTCCGCGATTTTCGTTGTGTGATTTCTTCTGACAGTTGGCGAAAGGCCCGTAAAATTGTTAGTTTATGAATTGTATATGTAATTTTTGAACAGTTGCTTAGTTGAGGCAAAAATTGAAGGTTCAAATCCATCGTTCTATTCCGAGGGAGATTGAACGAGGCTCCACTGAACTACAGATGCAACAATGGAGTGAATGTGCTGTTCTGGACACCGATTCAGCCTTGATTATATAAGTCTTCGATATCAGTACTGTGCAAGGAATTCCTTCATGTACAGGTTTTAAGTGTTCTAGGGTGTTTTGTGTTAGGTTAATCTTGTAAAGAGAACTGGGTAGAGTTTGATAAAAAATGGTAATTTTAGTTTCACACAGCCATCCAACCTTGTATTTATCATTCATTGTTTCACTTATTCACACTGTTATATGTATGAATCTGTTGTTGTGTTTCATCGCAAATGATATAAGGACTGCATGTTACCAAGAAGCAATGCACCCTCCAGAGATGAACTCAAAAAAAACAGGCTATCATGTGAACCCAAAACTCCAAGCCTAACCTTTCCTATCTTCTATTTATTCCCTAGACGAGGGACAAGCCCTCAGTACCCCACCCCCTTGTCAGCACTTCATGTCATGTATTTTCGTCATTTCTTGTTAAATGTGAGGCACTGCTGATGTACCTGTGTTGCTTCTTATTCAATTTTTTTGCTCCATAAGATGGCAGTGGCCATTTCCCACTATCTCTGTGCATCACTGGTAACATTAACTTGGAGT